AGTTGCTCTCAGGATTCTTTGTTTGTCTTTGGTTTTAGTGAGTGTGATTATGATATGCCTTGGTGATTTTCTTTTGAGGTCTGTCTTATATGGGGTTCATTGAGTTTCTTGGCTGGTCAACTTTTCAACTTACATGATATTAGGGAAGTTTTCTGTTAGCAATTCTTCAATGTTCTCTCTGTTTTCTGTTTTCTCCCCCTGTTCTTGTACTCAGATCGTGCACAAATTTTTGCTTTTGATTTTATCCCACGTAATCCTCAGGGTTTCTTCATTTTTCTTTGTTCTTTTTTCTGATTTTCCTCAAACAAATTGATATCTAAATGTTTGTCTTCAATTTCTCTGATCCTCTGATCCTTTTCCATTGTTTCATACCTGCTCCTCAGCCCTTCTATGACACTTTCCATTTCTGATACCTTGTTGTGTATCTTTTGAATTTCTAATTGCTCTTTTTGTATGATTTCTAGTTGTGAATTTATTTTGACATTTTGTTCCTGTATTATTTTCCTGAATTCTCCCATTTTTTTGGTCTGTATTTTCCATGAATTTGTGTGCCTTTTCTATGAATTTGTCTATTTTTTTCCTTATTTTTGTCTGCTTTTTGTTTCAACTCTTGGGTAGTTCTGAATATTAGAGATTTGAATTACCTATCAGGTAGTTCTAGTGGCTTTTCTTCTGCTGGAAAGTCATCTAGTGTTTTAATTTGAACTCTTACCAGAACCATCCTGTCCTGTTTTTTTTAATATGTTTTGATATTGTCTGCTGTCTTTGGGACATTCAGTAATTATTTACTTCATTTACTGATTATAGATTTGTTTGCTTTGTCCTGCTTTTTTGTTTTTTTTTTGTTTTATTTGGTTATGTCTGAGCAGGTTTTCTGTGCATTCCTTGTCGTTTGCTTGTCTGTGGGCACCGTACTTTTCATTTCCTTGTCTAATGGGCAGGGCCAGTCACTTAGCTATGTTGCAGTAGGGCAGGTCCAGCTGAAGGAGAGGGGCTGGGATGGGTTGTTTGTGGCATGTACTAGGGTAAACAGGGCCATCTGGATTCAGTGCAAGGAAGGTTCCAGTAGGCCATGCTTGTGCTGCTCGGGGGTGTGATGTTTAGCACATGGTGCAGGTAGGCAGGAAGGAGGGGGGAGGCTGTGATGTGTGAAGCTAAGATAAGTATGGGAAAGAAGAGAAAGAGGAGAGAGAAACAGGAGCCAAAAAAAAAAAAAA